AGTTTAGACTGAAAAAATGTTTTATTAAAACCAAATTTTAGGACAAATAGTGGTAGAGTGAGTGTTTAAGCTATTTAATACTCGAATTTTAGGACAAATAGTGGTAGAGTGAGTGTTTAAGCTATTTAATACTAAGAGTTAAGTAATAGGTCCAGATATATCCACTTACTTGAGTTGCCTGAAAGCCAGAGTTAGAACATACTTGCAAAAATAACGAACATCTTTTAATACCATTGCTTAGTTCAATTGTCCTTAAAGACTTTGTAGAAGTAGAACATTTTCTGTGAAGAAAATACTCAGAAATTCATTTTCTCCTGTTTGTAAGACAAGCAAAAAGTAGAGCTGCTTTGGCAAAATTTACCTTGCTATCACAAAATCTCACTAATGTTAAGTGCTCAGATTGGGCTTTCAGTATTAAAAAATGCATTTTGCTAGTCAGGTATTATTGGTTAAACATGTCTAGGATTGATAGCAGCTGTTACTTAGCAGCTATAATTTGGTCATTTTAAAATAAGCTGATGTCAAAGCTAGCAGAAGCAAAGCACCACCTGTACCCTTTTTTTTTAAAGGCTTAAGTAGTATGTTGCTTTTACCTACTCAGAAATAATAGGAACAAAGATTACTTCAGTGTTTGTGTCTTAGGAGAACTTTGCCCTACCAAACATGGGTGAGGTTCAGTTTAAAAGAAGGAGACCTATAGTGACACCTCTGCAGATGGATAACTAATCCAAGGACAAATTGCACATAACTTTTAGAGAAAAAACTGCAAGCTAGACTTGAGAAGTACTCAGTACATTTCCTTCAACCTCATCTCCTCAGTAGTAATGCCTCTGAAAGGACTTTCCTTATGTTAAGAGCATGTCCATTTAATTTTGGATCTTCATATTACCCACACATACACTTTTATGTGTTGTATTCCCTATGTTAGTACAGTTTCTAGGTCCTCTAATGACAAGAACCTATCAATAAAGATAATTCTTAGTCTCGAATTTTATTCCTCTTCAGGGAAATTCAGGGCTTGGTTTCAGCATTGCAGGAGGTACGGACAACCCACACATTGGAGATGACTCAAGTATTTTCATTACCAAAATTATTGCAGGGGGAGCAGCTGCCCAAGATGGAAGATTGCGGTATGTTTTGCACTTTATGTTGTGATGCTGAATCTACTTTATGTATTTTTCTTGAAACAAACTGGACAAAGAATAAATACAAATAAGAAACACTGTCATAATAACTAATTAACATGGGATAGATGCTCAAACAACATTTAAATGAATGAATTTAAATGAATGTTCTAAGCATTGTTTCCTTCTGTTCGTCTAGGAATTCAGTTTCATTTTACAGATATTATAACATTTTAAATAGTAAATTTGATAGTTTAAATGTTTCTGAGCAAATTTATGGAAATCATGAGTCCCATTGTATTTTCAAATACATTCACAAAATATTTACTATTTCTTTTCTGGTTGGGAAAATATGTATATAAACTTAAGATAGAGAGGATCATTTATATGAGTTGTATACTATACCACTAAGAGTAAATGATTTGCAAACTTTAAATATATTATTATATTTTCTGAGTAGATAAAAATGACATTGGTATTTTGTTTAAATTTAGTGTTTCCTTAGCCCATAAAGTATGGCACTTTTCCTATTTCCTTGTTTGTTGTTTTTTTACATATATGATGACAGTCTGAAGTTTTAGAACTATGGATTTTATACAGTCTGTTAAAAATGGCTTCTTATTTTAAGGTTCTTGGTACCTAATGCAGCTCTTCAGTTTTTAAACTTCTCACTGGATATGACAGGAGGTATACTAATGAAATTAGATTTAAAAATTAATAATTTGACCATTTGTGTAAATATAGACTTCTTGATTCTATTAATATCCTTTTATTCGTGTTGTTTATGTGAAAATTAATATATTCCCTTTATTTCACTGAAGAACATACCTGTAGTGCTATAAGGTTTCACTGTCCTTGGGTATAGAATTTCTTTCCTCTAAAGAAAGTTAGTTAGATATATAGAAGCTTGTCAGAACCAGTTTTAATATTTTAATTGTGTTTTGTTATCCGTCCCTTCCCAATTTGAGATGACCATATTTTTTCTTAATGAAATACCATGCAGTCAAAACTGAGACCAGAGCTAGGGGAAAGGTTATGACTAGGAACAAATCAAACTTTTGAAAAACATATTACCATGTTAGGG